GGCTCTGCACTGGAGGCTGGGCGCTCTGCTCCGGTTTTTGTCAGAGATGGGTGTTATAATCTTCATTTGTTCGTTTCTAGTGAGGACCAGGATGAGCTACACTACCAAGATGCCGACTTGGATGTGCCAGAGCAGCGGGATGGCAGGTGCAAGATCAAGTGGACACCAGAAGAGGTGAGTGAGGGCCCAGCATTGCTGAGAGAAGTGCTTTGGGGTGGGCATGGCACCCCGGGCCTCAGTGTATCCACTCCAGTCCTCATCTGCTGGCCATGACCCAGCCTCTTGCTTACCACTGGAGAAGACTGAGCTGAGGTCTGAATGAGGCTCAGATGATCAGGGGAGTCTGAAGTGTAGTCCAGAGAGCAAAAGCTCCAACCTCTTTACCTCAAGCGGAGTCCTGGGCAAGGCATCTGCTGCCTGCAGTGCTCCTGTGAGCAAAGAGAGGTTCCAGAGGATGGCTGAGGTCTCCAGCAAGCTGAATTGCACAGTGGAAATGTCCTCTCTTTTATCTGTCAGAAGCAGGGAGTGCTGAGACTGCTGGGATCATGGCTTAGTCATCCTGGCTGAGAGCCTGAAACTAGTTGGGATATTGTCTTCCCTCCTCCCAGTTCCTCCACCATATTCGTTCTGTGTGTGAACTACAAGATGTTCTGTCTCCCTGGTGTCTACCTTGCCACCAAGTAAGGTGATCTTTATGCAGCCTTAGGCTCAGGTTGTGCTGGGAATAATTTCATGCCTCCGTTTGCCCAGCCAGAGCTCACAGTCAAGGACCCCTATGTCAGGCTCTCTGTGAGCTGTAGGAGTCTGCACACCCAGGCTGTAGCAGGGATCATGAAAGAAATGCTGTAGGGCCCTGTAGCCCCGAGAGACAGAAGACTACCAGGCTACTGGTGATACACTACAACCAGTCAGCTTTCCTGGCCAGGCAAAACCAGTGGCTGAGCTGGGAGATGGACTGTCCGGTCAGGAGTGTACTGGGGCTGGATAAACTGGCCCTTGGACACAGGGTTTGAATCAAACTGTGCTGGAACAGAGCTGAACTCTTGTTTTGTACTCACTGTATGAGTTTGTCCTAGTAGAGAGCTCAGAAGCAAACTATCTGTTCCAGCTGAGCTCCACATACTGGAGCACTGCTGAAGGCTGGTGTGAGCCACCTTCCTCCCCCGAAGAGAAATGCCAACAAACCTTGACAGTTCAAAACATAACTTGTTCTCTTGATGCCTTCAGCCCGGGGTGCCTGTGGTGTGTTGCTTCAGAGTATCTGAAATTGGATGTCTTTGTTCTTTGCAGGATGAGCAGCTGAAGATGTTAGTAAGCCATTATGGGCAGAATGACTGGAAGTTCCTGGCCAGTCACTTTCCTGTAAGTGACCCTTTGCCCAGTTGGGAATTGTAGCATTTGCATGTTGCTTCTTTCCCTTGTGCTGGTTCTGTGTGTGTGCAGCAGCTTGCACAGTGGGACTGTTCTGTGACTGCAGTTCCAGGCTCTGAAAGGAGCTGCTTCAGGGTGGGGAGACCTTCCTGTACAGAGGGCTTTCAAGGCTGAGTCTGCTGGAGCTGGGGTGAGAAACTGAGGCTCCTGTGCCTGGTGCTCTGGGTCTAGGGTCCTTGTATGTATTCTGCAGGTTTTCTGTGAGGCATCCTGTGTGTGTGAGGACTGCTATAGCTTTAGGAGCTTTTGGAGCCTCCAGGATAATACTTGTCTATCTCACTGCTTTTCCCAGAACCGCAGTGACCAGCAGTGTCAGTACCGATGGCTCAGAGTGTTGAACCCAGACCTGGTGAAGGGCCCTTGGACAAAAGAGGAGGACCAAAAGGTAAGTCAGGGCTGAGAGGATCAGTGTTGGACTGTGACTGTCTGTGGAGAGGGTGGAAGTGCCAGACCCTCAGGTCTTGTTGTAAAATGTGGGTAATTCATCCCAGTGGTGGATACCTGTGAGAGCAGCACTGTGACCTGCTCTGAGCAGCTCTGAACACAGCTATGGTGCAGGAGCAGGTCTAGGCCTCTTCAGCTAAACACCTCCCTTTCACACAGTACTGCCACAGTAGGCTGCCAAAGGAAAGAGGAGAAAAGGGAATTAATTCATCTGCCTCCTGGCAGGTCTCCACCTGGCCTGTCTGTGTTGGATCTAAGAGAAAATCAAACTAACATTTCCTGTGCCACAGTAGGCAGGCTGGAGGGGATGGCTGAGGCTGGCTGGGGGAATCATGACTTCTGTTTCTCTGCTGATCCCAGAGTGGGCTGAAAGATTTATATTAAGCATGTCCTAAGGAAGCTTCTCAAGATGTCCTTCCACCTTGCAGCAGAGCAGCTGTTGCCTGCTTTTCCACTCCCTTTGCATGTCCTGACTCTTCCAGCCTACTCATCCTGGCCAGGCTGACTCCGGCTCTCTCCTCCCAACACTGCACACTGCTTTGCCCCAGCTCCTTGGCCTGTGCCTCACTTTGGCATCTTTGGTCCATTTGTCTGTGCTTGATAGTCAAGAGTCCCTGCGGTAGGGACATTTGTTACATGCCAAGAGCACTGAGCATCACCTCTCTACCTGCACCTTTCAGCTGAGCACAGCTGGCCAGGGTAGAAATGCTCTTGGAGAAGTCTTCAGCCAAGATTTTGGTGGGCTGAACACTGCAGGAAGCAGATTATTTCATCCTGACTGTGCTCTGGACATTGCAGGGGCTCAGAACAGATTCTATGTCCTGAAGTATTTGCATTGAGCCTCAGGCAGAGGTGACAAAGCCCTTAGTGAAGGGGAAGAGGCAAAGTGGATGGCTCTTAAGTGAATATGGCTTGTTTAGGCTTTGAAGCTCTCCCTGTGTGTCCTGGTGCTAGCAGGGCACAGAGCTGCAGCTCTGGCATGTCCTGGGTGTAGAACACTCTTAAAGGGAGCAGCAGAGCTGACAGGGGCTGTTGTCCTGCAGCCAGGTCCCGGGAAGCAGGGAAGGCAGAGGAGCCTTGGAGCATGTGGACTTGGCCCTGGCTCAGAAATGGGCATGTGTTTCTAAATTTGGGCCTTTCTGCCCCTTGGTGCACCTGCCAGTCTCCATCCCATCTTTTGTGAGCAGTCATCTGCATTCACAGGTGCCCTGTGGCAAAAATGTCTGTGTGGAAACAAGTCTCTTACAGAAATTCAGCTGAATCATTGCTCTCACAAGTGTTGGTACACCTGATGGGCAGTGCTGGATCTCTCCAGCTTTTCCTCCCGAGGAGCCTTTCCCTGTCTGCCCTTACCTGATCTCGAGAGAGCTGAAGAGCAAAGCCTGAAGATAACTGTATTGTCCTTCTCCTCCTTTATCCCATTTCCTTATTTCCCTCCCACTCTCTTCAAAGGTAATTGAACTGGTTAAAAAATATGGCACCAAACAGTGGACCCTGATAGCCAAGCACCTGAAAGGGCGGTTAGGGAAGCAGTGCCGGGAACGCTGGCACAACCACCTGAACCCTGAAGTGAAGAAGTCTTCGTGGACAGAGGAGGAGGATCGCATCATTTATGAGGCCCACAAGGTCCTGGGGAATCGCTGGGCGGAGATTGCCAAGCTGCTGCCTGGGAGGTAGGACCTCTTTGCTCACTGCTGCCTTCCCAACTGGGTGGCCCATGGAGATCCATGTGTTAGGCTCACAGGATGGGGCTGGGGCGTGTGCTGGAGCTGTTAGGTGTGCTTTGAAGCTGCTGTAAATAATGATTTGTTTCCTTCTGCTTTCCCTGCAGGACTGACAATGCTGTGAAGAATCACTGGAACTCCACCATCAAGCGGAAGGTGGACACAAGAGGTTTTCTCAATGAAGCTAAAGAGTCCAAGTCAGTGTACTTGCTTGTGGAGGTGGATGACAAGGAGAGACGAAGTCAAATGACAGCTGAGAGCCAGGTATTGCACCAGCACACTTGCAGCTGGGTCAGTCTCCCCCTTTACTAATGCATTTTGGAGTGTTCATCCACCCTTCTGCTGCCTCACACTGCTTTGGCCACACTCTGGTGTCTGCAGAGACAGTTTGTGCCTTCCCCAGCTGTCTCCAAGAGACTGACTCTTGGGAGATCTCTCCCTTCAGGAACTAGAGGTGTTATGGGAACCAGACTGTGTTCTCCAGGCAGAGGACAGCACTCTGCTAGTGCTGTTATCTTGCCAATCCCAACATCAGGTCTGTTTTGGACACTGAAAATTCTTTTGGCTTGTTGTGCTGTTGCTGGTGGCAGGAGGAGGCTGCTCCAGATAGTGTTTGTGTGGGAGGATGGTGAAGAGATACTGTGTTCCTTTCCTCTGAAAAGGGGAGCAGGGAAGTACACCCAGTTACTTTTTTTTCACAAGGAAAACTTGTAGTTTCTGAAGGCAAGTTCTTGGAAATTAGGAAATGCAGAACTAGTGCTACCTGCTCAGTATTTGTTCAGCTTTCTCCTGGGGCACTGTTAACTGAAATTTTCAATTAAACAGTTCTGTGCTTGTTATGTTGCTGGACTCCTGCTCAGGTAGTGCAGGACAGAGCAGTGAGAGAGCATAGGGGTGTGAAACAAACTGAATGGCAGGTAGCAGAGCAGGCGGAGCTGAATGTGTCCAGGGCTCCTTGCTTTTCGTCACCAGGACTTGACATTGTTCCCTTGTTTTCTGCTAACATCTGGACTTTCTTTGTTGTATGTGCAAAGAACATCCTGCCCAACTGGCCAGCTGATCTCTCTGAAATAAAGGAGGAAGATGCCAGTGATGAGGAAGTGACAGGAGTGCAGGAGTTGCCCTCAGAGCTGCCAGTTGCAGAGCTGGCAGAGCAGAACGCTGAGGGTGCCCTGGATGAGGCAGTGCCTGAGAATGCTTCGTTTATCACATCACCATACAAATGGGTCGTTGAAGCTGCTAACTGTTTGTACCCAACTTCAGTGCCAGCCTTGAATGAAGCTCTGGACATGATTGAATCTGTAAGTAACATACCCTTGCTCCTCCAGATAATGTAGGAAGACTGATCATCACCCTTTTTCCCTTGAATGAACTTATCAGATCCCCTTGCTTATCACCATCCTGAGAAGGGCTGGTTCTATCATTGTCTTGCAGTTTCCTACTGTCTCTTTTTCCAGGGCTGGATTAGGCTTTTCCAGCTGTATGAGTATTGCTGTGGGCTTGCAGGTTTCCCATGTTCTTGAGCATGGCCTCTGCTGGTGTAGGAGGTTGTAGGTGCTGGCAAACATGATTTCAGGCCCTTCTTTATCAGCCAGTGTCCCCAGCAATCTTTTTCTTAACAGTTCAGGCCCATGCTTATTGGCTTTCCTTTCCCTTCTGTCATGGGATAAGATTAGATAGGACAGGCTGTGAATAAGCTGAGCCCATTTGTACTATGCAGGACAGACTCCTTCATGCTGGCATGATGCCACCACTTGCTTTCACTAAAACTAGTCATTTTGGGCCAGTCAAGCAGTGCTGAGGTCCCCTGGGTGACAGAGGCTCTCCAGTGTGGGAGGCTGGCTAGAATCAACAGGGCACTTTGCTGCCATCAGAGGGAAGTTCCTCTGCAGCCCCCAGCCTGCCTGAGGAGCTTAAGAGCTGATTATCCGTGAAGAATCCACTTTGCCTGTGTATAGGAAGGCAGTTTGTGTCCGAGGCTTCCCAGGCCATCCATGGCTCCTTAGGGACCTGCTAGTGTGGTGTTGGGTGTTGGTGGGGTTGGGCTGTGAAGCAGCTCATCTCTGAACTGGTCTGGCTAGTTTTAATCTGCTTTCAGCAGTGCAGTTACAGCAGAGCCCTGTGACAGTCACTTCATTCAGCCCCTGTCCCCAGGCCTATCCCCAACTGCTTTTTTGGTCCCCTCTCTGAGGGGCTGCAGCTGTTTGTGCAGCTGTGCTGGGAACCCAACTGGGAAATCAACCTTGTGTAAAATAAAGATCTGCCCCTTGTGCACACAGCAGCTTTCAGCTGGGTCAGTTCCCTGGTCTGGCTCCCAGCTGTGCCTGCAGCAGAGGGGAGGAAGGTTCAAGTTCTCTTCTAGCCAAGGCTCCTTCCAAAGGTTGGTGCCATCTCACACATGTGCTTATTTCACCTCCCAGTTCAGATCTACACCAGCTGAGTGTCCAGCTTTCCTTCCTGGGCTGCTACTGATGATTTCTCTTATGTGCAGGACCCAGATGGGTGGTGTGATCTGTCCCAGTTTGACCTGCCTGAGGAACCCTCTGCTGGTGGCAGCAGCAGCAGCAACAGCCCTGTGAGGCAAACCCCCAGCAAGCCAGTGCCATCCCTGCCCAACATGACCGAGTACCGCCTGGATGGCCACACCATCTCTGACCTGAGCAGGAGCAGCAAGGGGGAGCTCATCCCCATCTCTCCCCACGCTGAGGCAAGCTTTGGCACACCACCCTCTGTGCTGAAGAGGCAGAAGAAGAGGAAGATCTCCCTCTCCCCTGTCACAGAGAACGTTGCCAGCACCAGCCTGTCCTTCCTTGACTCCTGCAACAGCATGACACCCAAGAGCACCCCTGTCAAGACACTGCCCTTCTCTCCATCTCAGGTACAGAGCATTGGCAGACACTGTGCTCCTCTGCTTGGGCTTGGTCCTGAGCTAAGAAATAGGCATGTTATGCTCTATCTTCTTGTGCTCTCTCTTGTGCTCATGGCATGTATTCCCACCAGCTCTGCCAGCTTTGTGTTTGTTGTCCTGTGAACGAGGCAGTGCCAGTGTGCAGAGTGTGTCCCTTTGCTTAAACAAGGCACACAGTTGGTTCTGGCACTGCTTGTCTTCAGTGCTGCCCTTCCCATGGGAGCAGCAGGCCATGCCTGCCTCTAGGAGCACCTGTGGTTTTAGGGAAGCTCAGCTGCTTCCCTGAGGGGCAGGACACGTGCCCAGTGTGAGGAAGAAGCACTGCAGTGTGGATGGGTCTGCATGCCTGCCCGTGCTGGAGGGCATAGTGCTTCTGTCCCCAGGGCATTGCTGCCCCAGCTGTGGGTAGCAGAGTGCAACAGTGAAAAGTGGCTTTCCCTGTTTGTTTGCAGTTCAGTCATGCAGGAAGACTCAGTAGCAAACACCTTGTGCAGATCTCAGTGTTGCTGTGCTTGGCAGAATGCTCCTGGGCTTCAATTGCAAAAGGATGTTGGGATGTTTCAGCCTTTGTCATGACTCCTACAGTGTTCACACACTTCTGCACACATGGTCTCCAACATATATCACCTTGGAGCACTGTGCTGGTCAAACCCACGAGTGCCTCATATATGGAAGTGGTGGAGTTCTGTCTACAGAGCAGAATAAAAGCTGCTGTCCTTCTGTGTTCTCCAGCACAGTTCCCACAGCAGCTGTCTTCAGACTCTGTCTGCCAGTGCCTTCCAGGCCTTTATTTCTGCTGTTTCTGCAGCCCTGGGTGCACATGGGAGAGCACCACAGGACAGTCTGACACAAATGTTTGTGGGCCTTGAATACAAGGCTAGCAAGAACTGGGGAATGAGAGCAGGACCCAAAATGTGCAACTCCACAGAGTGTAAAAGGCTGCAAGGCCTGTAGTGAATCTGAGAAGGCAAATGGCGTGTCCTGCCTCAGGCCATCAGTGATTGTCACAAACACTTCTCTCCTGATAGGTTCTTGGGCACAAACCTCATTCCTTTTGGGAGTAAAGCTGTCGCTTATTAGCTGGTGTGAAGTAAAATCCTAGCAGAGATGAGACAGTTTGTCATTTTCTCACAGTTGAGGCTGAAGGCAGCTCAGTGTAAGACCTGTTAGCTTGTATACTGTTGTGTTACATGGATTTCCCTCATGTTTGCTAAGCTGAGGCTGGAATAGACCTTTGGTGTGCCAGGATTGCCAGTGCAAAGAGAGACTTCTCTCCCACCCTGTAGCTGGCAGGTGTAGTAGTATCAGCTCATCCCTTATGGGAAGTGAATAATCTTTGGAGGTGTGAGAGACCTTCTGGCAACTTTCCTCTGTGTCCACATACAGGACTGTTATGAGGGTGTAAGTCATCCCGGTTTATACTGGGACAGCTGCTCACAATGGGAGGACTGTCCCTACTTCAGGTTTTCCCCATGTTTAGGAAAGAGTAATGACTTGTGATACAATGTTGGACTGCTTGAGACTAACCGTCTTCACTTTTTTTTTTTCTCCTGTGCTGTGCAGTTCTTAAACTTTTGGACCAAACAGGATACACTAGAACTGGAGAACCCATCTCTGACCTCCACACCTGTGTGCAGTCAGAAGGTGATTGTCACCACTCCTCTGCACAGGGACAAGACCCCTCTGCTCCAGAAGAATTTAGCGTAAGTCCTTTCCTCCTCCTCCTCCTCTTCCTCCCAGAGCAGTGTTCTTTTCCACACAGGAGTCTGGTCTAATTCAAACATACCTCTCAGTACCTGTCATGGCATTGCTGAGAGAGAGGCAACCAGGCTGGACATTTCCTTAAATCGGTGTTTCCCTCCAAAAACAGCTCCTCTCTGAGCTGCAGGGAGCAAATGCCCAGTCTGACTAGGACCACAGCCAAGTGGCCACCATTGTGTTCAGCTGCTGGGTGGGCTCTTTCCTTCTGTGGGTTACAGCATGTCTGATCCCTTGTCTTTCTCTCACTGTTTCCAGGTTCGTCACACCAGATCAGACATATGTGGTGGACAACACACCTCACACTCCCACCCCTTTCAAAAATGCCCTGGAGAAATATGGACCAATTAGGCCTCTGGTAATTACTGGTCAGGGCTGTGGCTTGGCAGTGGCAGAACAGTGATGAATGCAAATGGGACATGGGGGAGGCTGTAGTGGAGCTGTGAGCCAACTCTTATCTGTGCCACAACAAGGTGCAGTTTGGTTGTGCCAGGCTGAGGTGGGAGAGATGAAGGGAACCTTGTCATGGTGATCATGTCATTGTAAGTAGCCACAGGACTTTTGGCTCCTCTGTAAACCAGCTAAAGATGCCAAAACCTGCCCTTGAATCAGGCTGCAGTGCTTGGCTGTTGATGACCTTGAGGAAAAGCAAGGCAATAATCTGCCTAGGCCTCCCTGAAGAACTGGATCTCTGAATGTGGGTGTGTCCACAGTCTCTCAGGCCTTGTGTGCATACTGGTCTCATGATGGCACACTTGGAGCTCATCTCTCATGTTTGGAGATCCTGTAAATCTGTCAGCCTAGCAGAATTCCTACATCTTTCCCAACTGGGAAGTAAATAAGTTCTCTTTGTGTTTGTCCTCCCTCTGTGGGCTCCCCTGACCCCATTGTCTCTTGAGGGAAATACTTATGAGTCTGCCCAGCATAGAGAATTTGACTGCCTTGTGCTCTATCTCTGCCTTTTCACACCAGCCCCAGACTCCTCACCTGGAAGAAGACTTGAAGGAGGTGCTCCGAAGTGAAGCTGGCATTGAACTCATCATAGAGGATGATGTGAAGCCTGAGAAACAGAAGAGGAAACAAGGGGTGAGCTGATTTTTGCATTTAGAACCTGTTGCTGAGCCCTGTGCTGTTAAGGGGTGTTTTGGCTGGTTTTATTCATTCTGCTGTTGATGCCAAAATGTTTTTGGCCCCACGGCTGTTGTATTTTCATCAGCCTGGTTAAAATACTGCCAGCTATGTCCTGGTTTGTGCTGAACTCTTTCTAGGAGATGCTTTGTCCCTAACCTACAGAAGAGACCCATGGTACTCTTGGAGCATCTGGAGCAAGTTGGGCTCCCAGGAGGCTGTGGGCTGGTATGCTCAGTCCTCTGGTAGCCTTCCCTTCCTGCTGTAAGGAGCTTCCTCTTCTAAATCAGTGGCTGTTGGTGCCAGGAGGAAAGCACTGCAAGCTGCTGTGCCCTGTGGTGGGGAAGGCTGCAGCACACCTTTCTGAGGCACTGGTGCCATGGTGCCATGGGCTTGGTGTGCACCCTGGGCCCCAGTGACAGCAGTTCATGGGTGGCTCATGCTGACACTGGTGTTTCTGTGCCCTCCAGCTGCGCAGGAGTCCCATCAAGAAGGTCAGGAAGTCTCTGGCCCTGGATATTGTGGATGAAGATATGACCCAAAATCTGCCTGCTCTCCCCAAGACTGTGTGTTTCAAAAGAGCCCAGGTGAGGGGTGCTGTGCTCAGAGCAGGGACACAGCTCGTTTCTGCTCTGGAAAACCCTGTGCAAAGCAGCCTGTAGCTGCCTTTGAACAGTTCATGAGAATGGAGGAAGGGCTGGATTTGTCAGCTAACCTTTTGGCCCGGCCAAATATCGGCACTGTCAGGACAAATTAACTTAGTTCTTTATGCTTTTCTTTTTCTCTCTTTGCAGCCTGTGAATTTCCTGTCAAGGTCCCTGAACATTTCCTCCTCAAGCAGGAAGAACGACAGTGGTTTGCTCAACAGAGCCTTCGTGCAAGTGCAGCCAGAGAAAATGTCCTACAGGAAGATGCCAAGTCATTTCAGGCCCCCAGCACCAGTAAGTCCTGCAGCTGCTGCTCTCCCTGTCAGGATGTTAGCTGGCAGTGCAGCCCTTGTCCCTCCATGGGAGGAGAAGTGAGGGATGAAGCTCTGAACCCATCACAGGAATCCCTGTGCTGTCAGGATTGTCTTTCCACCAAGATTGAGAGTTGCTGAGCCACAGGTGTCATGCTACAGCTTCCTCCTGTCTCTTTGCAAACCTGCCCTTCTGCTGGGGCTCAAAGCCCCATGGTTGATCAGAGCTGTGGCCTGCTTAGCATGCTTGGCCTGGATTTCCTTATGGGAATTTGTACCCTGTCCAATCCATCAGGGAATTTGGGTGACTGATCTGGCACTGAAGTAAACCTTCCTTTTTCTAGTGAGCACTCCTTGAACAGCAGTAAGCTCATCTTATTTGTTTCTCTGGGCATAGCAGCTCTGTGTAGTGCTCTATAAAGGCTGAAGGGAAAGCCCTGAAAGGGCATGTGGGTTGTCCTGAAATGAAATACTTACCTAGGAAACTGTTGAACCTAAGCCCCCTTTGCTAGAAATTATCATCTTGGCTGTGATGAGTAACTGGTGGTGTGCAAGTTCCTCCTGGTTGCAAGCTGGGTGCTCCTGAGTCTGAAGTTTTATTTCCCTGGGGTAGCAGATAGATGGTAGTTTTATTTTTGCAGTGTTTTAAAAGATGTCACCATGATGTTTGTCCTCTCCCTTAACTGTGTTGTACACATGTTTTCTTTTCCCTCTGCAGATGACCAGAGCTTGGAAAGTGGTGGCCTGTGGTGGAACCCGAGACCAACTCTTCATGCAGGAGAAAGCTCGACAGTTTTTGGGCACATTGAAACAGAGTCACACATCAAGGACCTTAATCTTATCATGAAGGATTGTTCTGCTTTCTAATTTTATTTTTTAAATTTTTATAATAAGTGGAGGGGGAACCCCAGGAAAAAAGTTGTTCTTTGCCAGGCTTTGCTATGGTGGGAGTGGATTTTTTTCCTTCTGTTCCCAGGTAGATCTATATTGTAATAAAACTGCTGGCTAATGTGTGGAATGCAAGTTTAGGGATCATTATAAAAAATGGCAAACGAGGGAGGGCTGGAGAGCTAACAGCAACACCTCTCTCTGCAAGACCTGTGTTCTGCAGAAGTAGAAGCAGGCAGCCTTGTTCCACCTTGGAGCAGCATGTGGAGCAGGCAATGGAGACTGACCTCACAGCATCCCTGGATTTCCTGCTGGCTGCTCTGGTACCTCAGGAATGGCTTTTGCAAAGGTTCCTGCATGCCTTGAGTCTCCTTTCCTGGCTTTCCCCAGGGGATGGAATGTCCCCCTTCGCTCAAGGAGGAGGGGAGGGCATGGTGCTTTGGGGTGGCTTGTGTCTGGAGACAGCCTCGTGCTCCTGTGGGGCTGGTTTGTACTGCCAGGACACAGACTGGGAATGGCAGGAGCTTCTCTCCAGGACTGTGCTCACTCTTCAAATAAAAAATGGTGCTAACATCACCTGTCCCTTGGACTCTGACTCTGCCTGGGGCCTCACTGCAGGGGAGGCAGTGCTGTGCTGGGGTGCTGAGATGCTGCAAAGTGATGGGTTTTGTGTGGGATCTTTGCTGTCCTGCCACTGGTTCTCACGTGGGATCTTTGCTGCTCCTGGCAAGTTGGTGAATTCCTGTTAGTCTCTCAGCACACAAAGGATGGTTTCCCTCCATCCACTCTTTAGTTTCATCAGCTGTTAAGAAATTTTGGCTAGGTAGGTGCCACTGTGTTTGAGCTCAGTGTGGGTGGGATCTCTGCAGGGCTGCAGGAGTGGCTGGAAAGAGCACCAGGAGTGTGATGTAGCAAAGCCTTTTCTGTTCCCCTTCCTTCTGAGGCCAAAGCTGTTTCCATGTTGCTATTTCAGTGTGGAACAGTAACAGGGTGTCCTGTTTTGACATCGACATGGATGAAGTGTGGCAATTGCAGTAATGTACTTTTTGTAATTGGAAAGGTGCTGGAAAAACTGAAGAGCAGCTCAGCAGTTAGGACAGGAAGAGCTTTGTGGATGAGCAGTGTTGGGTGCTGTGCTGTGCTGTCCTTGGCCAAAGCTTTTGTGGCAGATCTAATTTTGGCTCAGAGTGTCTATAAAGCAGAGGTGTGGGGAGGCTCAGTCCACCCCTGTGCCTCTCAATGGGGTCCCTGTCCCCAGACCCTTGGCAGGGTGGAAAACCAGAGCAGGGCTGTATAAATCTCATTCCAGGTTGTCACTTATGTTGGAAATAGAGTCAAAAAATTCTTACTGACAAACTTGTTAATAAAACCTTGGATCCTGGGAAATGAGGGAGGTTTAGAAACCCAGTTCATTTTTCATTTTTACAAGCTTGGGGCCAGAGCAAATCCATGAAGTAATTTTTATTTCTGTTTCTCAGTGCTGCAGTGTTTGCTTTGGAAAGACAGCTGGGAGCACTTGCCTGAAAGCCTGGCTTTAGCTGCTTCCATTCTGCTGTTATTTTAAGAGAAGTTGCCATAAAACCATTCCTCTCCACTCAGGCTTTAGCAGGTTTGGCTGTTCCTGCACTGAGTGACTTTACAAATCCAAGCCCAGAGTTGCAATTCCTTCCTGGAGCTGACATGAGCTGGGAGCCCTGAGCAAGCAGTGTCTGCTGGGAATGGATCTGGGTGTGAGCCTGGCACCCATGTTTGGGAGCTGCCCCTAAACTAAAGGATGATGAGAGTATTAACTGCTGTTCTGTGCTGACTGGGAAAGGTTGAGGGGCAGAAAAATTCCAAGGAAAATAAGCAAGGTATTCACAGTTAATGAGTAAAAAGACAATTAGCTTTTAATTGGAAAAGGGAGCTCCTTCTAGTGTGGATGTTGCCAGCCTGGCTTAGCTGTCCTGGGGCTCAGGAACAGGCACTGCTCCACAGGTGGGGAAAAACTTGCACTTGTTCTATTCTTCCTGTTAATTTGGATGCTCTACTTTATTTCCAGTAAAAATCTCATGGAGGTTGGACTTCACACTGGCTGTGGAGCCCCTGGATTGGAGCTGGAGACCCCTCAGGCTGGGGCTCCATGGCCCTCCTTGTGGTCCCCGTGAAGTCACAGCCCTCCCAGGCTGCACGACTTCCATTCCCAAAGGGAAGCCTGGATGTTTAATTTAGCTTTAAATGAAATGCCAGGATGAAAGTGTTCCAGGAGCCTTGTCTGTGTGGGAGAGGAATCTCCTCCCATGGCCCAGCTTGCAGGAAAGCTGTGCAAACCCTGCATTGCTGCTTGCTTTTGGTATTTTGCATTCCTCAACAGAGCAGATGATTCCTTGTTTGAATCCAGACATGGAAAAAGGATTGTTTTGTATCAGGAATGGGAGGAGAATAGCACAACTGCTGCTCTTGGGACATGGCAGTGCCCTGACTGCAGACAGGATGTTGCTTCCAGCTGGGACAAGCTCTAGAGAAGCTGGAGAGAGCAGAAATAATAGGGTAAGGAGCAACGAAAAAAGGGACACTCATGGTTTTTAATTGGCAGTTTTCCTTTGGGATGGAGCCTGAAGTGGCTAAGTGGTGTTGAGCTTGCACAGCTCTGTGGCTGGAAGTGTGGGAGCTGCTGTGTGTCCCTCCAAGCTGCTGGGCT